CATGTCTGACAGAATTATTAAAAATTTGGACCTCGAAGATATCTGGGGTTTTCAGAAAATTGATTTCAACAGACACACAGACGGACATGACTTAATTGACACATAGCCAAACAAACAGATAGACGGACAGACAGACAGACAGACGGACATGGCTTAATCGACTCCGCTATCTACAAGGATCCAGAATACATGTATATACTTTAAGTGTTCGGAAAATTATATTCTAGATGACAAACTTATACATATACCCTTCTCACGAAGCTGTTACAACGTCTCAAACGTGACACGATATCTGAAAAACACGATGTAATGGAGAAATTCTGAGAACAGATTCAGCTCTACTCCAAAAAAATATACCTTACTTGAGCAGCTCTTTACTTACCATTGTTTGGAAAAGAGTTTTCAATATCTATATTGTATAAACCAGGTTTTGAAAGGGTAAACGAACCTCGATTTAAATAAAAAATATCAACAATAACTTTCTATGGCCTCGGAAATAATATTCTCAATGTACTTGATCAAAATTAAGCAATATTTTATAATTAGTTTTCACATAAATTATTGCCAAAAATTGACTTTTCTCGAAATTTTTTAATTTTTAATAATAATTTCAGTTACTGAAAAAATATGACAGTTATCTTGCTGATACTTACATTTTTATATCTCATATTTATATATCCTTCAAATAGAGAAAACTTTTTTTAATCCGTATGAATTCTCTATGAATTCTATTTCGATCTATCTGTGTCAAAGCTCTATGACCGCTCTCTTTGTTGCAAGCTAGGCAAGGCTTTCCGATGGCATTCATTTCAATACGTTACGTGTATTGGTGGTTTAGTATACAAAATTATTACAAATTTTGATTGGATTGATCACATTGCTTAAACGATTAGACAATAAGTTCCTTACAAATCACATACATACATACATATGTATGTATCTTCGTTATTGGGAATGGATCAAAATGGAACCAATTTGAAAATGTTTTCCCACATTATCTGTCGAACCAAAAGACATTCGTTTGCTTGTTAAAGGCACAAAAAGTCTTTCGAATGCTCCTCGGAAAAATATCTTAAAGCTCATAACTTAAACCACTATAGAGACGAAATTAGTTATAAGAAAGTTTTACAACAATTTTATTTAAAAAATATATTTTTCAAGCTTTCCAAACTTAAAAAGTATAAAATCAACCGAATGTCCCAGATTTCTATTTCCCGCCGCTTAAAACTTATTTTATTATGATAATTTTTAATATAACCTTAATAACTCCCAAATTTCCGTTTCCCATTGCTTTAAATAGCTTTAATTCAACTATAATTAATCAACTAATCGAAGAAAAACTTATAAAAACCAAAATATCAAATTCGGCTGCCACAAAACTTTTAAAAGAAATTTTAATACTTAATTTTCATAAAAACCCTAATATGTAACACATAAGTGTAATTATGATTTCAGCCAAACAACATGAAAACGGATGTGGAACTGCAAGACTCAAATATGGCAGAAGATTATGTGGATTGCCAGCTATATGGCAGGGTATGAAATAGAAATAGTACTTAATCCATTGATATTCTATAGAACCTAAGCAAAAGCAGAATTAAATTCAAAGAATTTCTAATAAAAACCGCCAAAAATGTTCTAAATTTCAAAATATTTAGTAAACTATAAAAAAAACTTATAAGGCCTCTATATGGAAAATATTTTATAAACAACAACAATTCCTTATTATTGCTTATATATACAATAACTAGTAGTTTAGTTAAACTCCACTACCTTGTTTTTTAAAAAAATCCTGCCTCTCACAGTATTTAGTAGCAAGACCTTGGATAAAAGTACTTATTTGCTTTACGTGCCCTTAAGTATTGGCAAAGCCGATGCTGCTTTTACTCTTGTGCACACACTCACACATATACTCTTTAAGTTTCCAATAAATACTACGCTCTCGTCCTATTGCAAATGTAAATAAATATGCTCTTGATTTTTAACAATTTCAGTTCATTTTTTTTAGTCTTTGGTTTTTGCTTTCAAATATCTTTTTTTTTTTTTTTTTGCAGCAATGAAATACTATATTATTATTTTGATTGTGAACAACAACAATAAAAATATGTATAGAAATAGAAATAAAGCATAAAATGTTCTATTTACTTTATAATCACCATTTGATAAAATGCCAACAATAAATGTGTATTTACTTTAATGACATGCAGGGATGTGAAATAATAAATTGATTTATGTTTTGTAACTGACATATGAATGAAAATTTATTTTTGTTAAGTTATCAAAATGAACACAATACCTATAGTTTAGAGTGAAAGTTTTGGTTTTGCAAATTAGGTAACATGACATAATTTTTTGAAAGTAAATTTATAAACAATTTTCTACAAAAATCTCTATTAAGGCTCATTTCCGCATACACCGTAATCGGTGCGGAAAACTAAATTTCATATATTTGTACCGAAAAAATAAGTTTTTTTCGTCACAAATGTGTGGAATTTCGTTTTCGGTGCCGATTACAGCGTATGCGGAAAACTGCCTTAAAAAGAGTTTTCCCACTAGAGGGTTTTCCAATAAAACTCCTAGATATTATCAGTTTTTGAGACCCATGATATTTATCATGATCTTCTACAGCTTAGATTGGTCACCAATTTCGTATGATTTTATGATAAAATCGATTGCTAATAACAAAGACGTACTAATACAACAGTCTCGAGCAAGACAGTAAGCCTCTTCAGAATGAATAAGTCCGAGGTTAGAACTATTAGTGTACATACAGAAAGGATTCCGATAAATGTTAAGCATGCGAAGATGACAGTGAAACGCTGGAATACTTTCTCTGTCATTGGCAAGCCTTCGTCGATATTATTCAGATATTACATCCCTCCGAAGATTAATTGATGTCTGTCCGTGCGACTGTCAGTAAGCCACTCTACCCGGGGGCATGTTACCTTGTTGAAAGACCTTCATATTAGTATTATCACAATACCGTGAAAAAAAGTTGCTACCAATACCTCAAGTCTGCCGGGACTACAAACTGGTGATGACCAAATATATCCACAGCCTTTCCACACATAATCAGGTACCATGGGAACCGTTAGTACGCAGGGTAGATTGGAGAGGTCCCTTCGGTGTACATGTGGTGGCTGTAGATTAAATTCTAATTCGAGAGATGTATAGTGTATAATTCGGGATAAGTTCGGTGCTGTTGCCGAGACAGAGGAGTGACTGTGGGACTAAGCGTTGGAAATGCGTTGCTGTTAAGTGTATATGATACGTGATGTATGTAGAAGTATACGGACCTTACCCACCCATACACCTAGAGTGAGTGTGTCGGATGTTGTTCTCTATGACTGTGTCGAATGAACGATAAGGGTTTGAGTGGTGATGAATGAAATGTACCTCACACTTTCATTCCTTGTCCAGGTATGTTCAGGATTTACTTTGTTCTTTCCAAATCTACCACGTTATGAATAAGAAGTCCTCGGCTTATTTGGTAGATTCGTGTTTTGGTGTAACGAATGTACTCTATGTGCTTTTCCCGACTAAACAGAGGCCATCCTATCTAGGAGGTTGTAAACGGAAGTAATATTTTTGCATCTTGGAGGTTAAGCAACGGGGCAACAGTGGTAATCTTACATAGACCAGCAGAACCGTGTACAAAAATTGCCACCGTTCAAAGCGGTTGGATACATTTGAATAATCTTGGACACTCAAAAAGTCTTGAACAAATATTTCTTGTTTTATAAGCAAAGTCTTAGGAAACGGTAGAATAAAGTAGTTTCAAATTCTTCCAGAAACGATTAGTTAACGTCCGTTCAAACGTCTGTCTGTCTGTCTTCCTCTCTCCTCACACAAAATGTGTTAGAAGTACATTTTGTATGAATAGATACAATTTTAAAAGGAGACGAAAACGAATTTCTCTAAAATTAGAAAAAAAGCTTCGTTTTCGGCCATATTTGAGATGTTATAAAAATTTTATTAATGCTAAATTTATTTATGATTTTGATATATTTTAACAATTAGTGAAATCAAGTCTTAAGCGAAAATTGTACAACTAAGAAATAATATTATGGGCCTTATTCATAATAATAATTTTATTTAAAGGTTTATAAAACAAATTAAAAGTTTAAAGTACAAATTTTGATGCGAGATATATTCTACTTATAAATCTTTGAAAAATTATTATCAATAAGAATCTTAATACTTTATTCCAACTTATTTCATAATTATGTAAATAGCTTTCCCCATAAAACTAATCTCCTAAAAGTATACCCTCCAATTATCACTGAAAGTTATCATGCATTTACATTTTATTACACACATACATACTACATATATTCGTCATAATAAGAATAATTTAAATAAATTAAAATACAAATGACTGACTATAAATAAAAAAGGGCTCAATTATATAAATTTTAATAAAAGGTATAATTTTAATTACTTAATTTACTTTTTCTACACGCACACTTCATACCCATACACAAACACAAGCATAAACAGAGAATAACATCATAAATAATTTATATACAGCGGAAACAACTGAACTGAGCTGCAATTTACATCCTCCAACTAAAAATTAAAAATAAAAAACGTATAAAAAAATCTTTCATTGCATTTTATTACTTTGACAACAACTGTTGGCAAACATAGCAGAGTCAACAACAATTCTTTTATTTATTTTTATTTTTTTTTTATATATATAAATTTTTGGTTACAATTGAATATTCATTTTGTAGCCCATTAATTTTCCTACGAATAAACGCATACATACTTACTCACTTGTTCACCTGCGCTTCAGCTCAGTTAGTGAGTAAGGCCATGTGGATTGTTGCAGGTTCTTACCATTAACTATGGGTTGTATTTATGTTGCATGTTAAAGTAACTTGCAACTTGTTTTCTTTATTACATGAACATGAACTTAATTTTCTTTTCGTTTGCAGTTTTGTTTTATTTCTCATTGTTTGTCTTAAAAATATACTTTACATTTTATTTCCCTACAGATCGAAATGCGTCGCAATTGTGGCAATAAAATTGTTGAAGAAGATGAAGAATGTGACTGTGGCACCTTTGAGGAGTGTGCCTTGGATCCGTGTTGTGATGGTATAACATGCAAACTGAAGTCGGAAGCACAGTGTGCTACGGGTGCATGTTGTGACCAATGTCGCGTAAGTTTTTTTTTTATTATTATTTTACTTCATTTCAATTTGTGTGCCAGTAGTTTTACTTAAACTTGTATGCATTGTATTTATTTACAATTTTTTTTTACTTTAATTACATTTTATTATACTCACTTTGCTGTGTTTACTTCCGTTTCCTGCTATTTGCAATGACATTTCATTTATCTGTTATTTGTGTGTTTATGTGTTTCTTTGTTTGTTTACTTATGACAGTTACGTTCCAAGGATCATATCTGCCGTGACTCACATAATGAATGTGATTTACCCGAATATTGTGATGGTGATAGTGGCGAATGTCCCATGGATGTTTTCAAGAAAAATGGTTCACCTTGCGGCCATTCAAAATCCGGAGTATCAGGTTTGTAGTATTGTTAATATTCCTTTTCTTTAGTTTAATTAATGGAAAAAAATCTCCTTTGTCCTTTTCTTACTTTCCACAGGCTATTGTTTTCAAGGCGACTGTCCCACATTAAATTTACAATGTGAAGCTATTTGGGGTTATGGTGGTGTGGCAGCCGATAAAGAGTGTTTCGAACAATTCAATTCGAAAGGTTCCATTAATGGTCACTGTGGTCGTGATGGCAAAGACAATTTCGTTAAGTGTGAAGCTGAGTAAGTGTCATTTTAATACTAAAAAAAACTAATTAATATTCAATCAAATATTTCTTTACCGCAGAAATGTTCAATGTGGTACTTTGCAGTGCAAGGAGGGTGAACGTCAACCCGTTAACGAGGGTGATTTATATTCAAGAACCATTATTTCAATTAAGGGTTTGGAATATGAGTGCAAGTATGTCGTTATTTGTTAACTTATTTCAGGTTATTTGATTTTGTCATAAAATATATTTATTTTTCTTTCCTTAGAGCCACCAGCGGCCAACTCAATGCCAATGAGTATCCCGATCATGGTCTAGTTAAGGATGGCACTCCATGCGGTGACAATTTGATTTGTTTAAATCAAACTTGTGTTAGTATTTTTCCTCATGTGGATCAAACCAAGTGTCCAACAAATAAACAGGGTCAAGAATGCTCAGAAAGAGGGGTAAGTTTCGTGGACTAAAATATACACAAAACAAAATAGACATTTTGTGGACAATAGTTAAAAATGGCTTTATATGAGATCTAGGGTCAAATAGGGGCCGATCCTCATAAAATTAGGAGAAGGGATTTATGTCTATGTAAAACTTATTTATGCTGAATTTCACCGTTATATTAATGTTTGCAATTAAATGGACGTTTGTGAGGGGAACTTTGTTTTAGCTTCAAAACTCTATATTCGGGTTACGGTTGTATGGGGACTGGTCAAATATTGAACCATTTTTAATAATTCAAATAGGCTACGTCCTTTAGTCAAAAATTGTGAAAAATTTATGTGGAAAATTTCATCAAAGTTTACACAGATGGACGGACGGACTGACAGACAGACACCCCCGAGGGCATGTTACCTTGGTGAAATCTCCACCTTGGTGTTATTGAAATATACCGGGGAAAATATGTGCTACCAATACCTCTAGTCTGCTGGGTCCCTAAACTGGTGATGATCAGGATACATTTGATCCTTCGGCCTTTCCTTGGAATGATTTGATATGGGGTCTAACCATAGTACCATATAATCTGGCACTACGGGTGGCCAGTTGCTCGCAGTACTTGTCCTGGCTGGTCAGTTGGTTGAGGTTCCTTCGGGATCTACGTAGTGGCTGCGGTTTATTCCCAAATCCGTGGGGAGAGAATGTTGGTTTAAGGACTGATATATCCAAATGCCAAATATGTCTGGATTCTCTCTCCTATATGTGACAGAACAACTTATGATGGATTCCTGAACCCGTTCGCGTAGTAGGGTGCCAGTATAAGTTGGAGAATTTTCAGGTTGACACTTGGTAGTTGCCTGTCATCATGATCTGAGAATGAAACTGATATAATTGGTGAACGATCGGGAAAGACTCGTCTGCCCGACAGGAGACTAGCACTGATTTAGTAGACCTTTTACTTCAGGGAAGTTCTCGGTGCTGTTGCCATCTCAACAGGATTCATATTGTTTCATGCTACACTTGAAACTCAACTTGTCGGGGCAATTATTGGGTTCGAATTGACTTTGGAAATTTCTACATCCTTTGTCACATTATCTGACATACAGAGGGATCCTGATTTATTGGCTGGTTATTTAGGACTACCAAATACGTCTCTAGGTGCTGTTGCCGAATCAACAGAGCCATCTCAGTAGTGTGGTTGCGCTGGCTTTAAGAAGTTAAGAAATGCACTAAAATGTCAGACTGACATACAGACAGACTGACAGACGGATGGACGGACAATGTAAATCCATTCTGAGCCTTTCAGTACACTTTAAGGTGGATAAAGAACCAATATTTCTTAGCATTACATACATAAGCACAAACCCAATTTAACCTCTCCACAACAGTGGGGTAAAGTGGTATAACAAATTGCAGATAGATCTTGGAAATATACAATATATTAAATACAAATAATACAGAAAGACGAAGGAAAAGTAACAGTTTTAAATTTATATAAAATATTTCAGACATTGTATCCAAACATTAGCATGTTTGCAACTCTTTTAAATATACTACAAAGACAGAATTACCTCCCTTTAAACTCATATAAATACCATCGTTTTCAACTCATACTGTTGTAATATTTTCAACTCTAGCAAAAGTACTACGAAAAAAATATACAAAAACTAGTACTACATATATGAAAATATTATAAACTGTAATAATATTAATGATCATTCGAAAAATATGTAAAATTATTTTAAATTTTTTCTCTTAAAACTAACAAACTCCTTTCAATACTTACCTTGATACACATAAATAACTTAAATCGTATGGTAATTTTTGCAACATTCATTTGTTAAATTATTTGCTGAAAATCCCCAATTTAATTTTACCCAGCCACTAGCTCCCTAGAGACGTTGTTAATAATTTTTAATATCATTTCAATAATTAAATTTGCAATTTTCTCTCATTTTTCACATTTATATCTGCTACTCTGCTACAGGTTTGTACGAATACGAATAAATGTTTTTGCGACATGGGATGGGGAGGTATTGATTGCAGTTTAATTGTTTTATTAACTACACCACTGCCAACTGAAGCTCTGCCAACACCAGAAAATACAATCAAAATGGAAAAGAAGGAAACGCCGTATGGTAAGCTAAATGAATCATAAATACAATTACATATTTTTTTACAAAAAAAAATAAATAAAATTAATAAAGAATATAAAGAAACCAAATACCAATGAAAACCTTAACCAAAAAAAGTAGCTACAACAGAAAATATTTCATTATATTAAAAGAAAACTGAAAATTAATTTTTATTTAAATCTTCAGTAATAAGTTAAACTTAATTTGTGAATTGAAAACAAACAAAAAAAACTATATGAAATATTTATTAATAATTCACAAGTGACAAATTCAACAAATGACAATGGTAATCCAGCATTTAAGTAAGAGAATGTGGTCAATTTACACAATTTTTGTTAAGCATATTTTTCTTAAATATTAAAAATGCAATTTATTAAATGAAAAACATATTTTATATGTTGCCTAACAACCACAATAAAAACAAAACATTTGAAAATTATTCTTTGTCTTAAGTATACGTCATCTTCCTTCCTAATCATACATTTTACAGGATCTTCCGATCAAGATAGAATCAGCACTTTATCCATGGTCATCATTTTAACCGTTATCGTCAAATGTGTCTTCATTAGTTTTGCAACACTGGCCGTTTGTTACAGGTAGAGTACCAAGCAAAAAACCGAAAAAAAATTAATTCAAAGTGTTTATATAAAATTTGAACAAAATTTTATTATTGATTTTAGTTTTTGAGTTTGTAAATTGAAATTATTTTATTTTTTGTAAAAAATATTTTGGTAGTTAAATTTTATTTTTGAAGAAAATTTAGAATTTTATATAAAATACTACTTGAAGTCACAAATTTTTGGACATTGACTAAGCTTTAACAATGTCTTTGACTATAATGATTTTTATAAATATGCGTTTGACTATGACTTTTTCCTCGACTATTTACTTTTGCACGCCTTCAGCTCTGACTATGGCTTTAACTCCTCTTATTATAAACATTTATCAAAAGTTTATAAAGCAAGTTTGCATCAAAATTTGTTTTATAAACCTTTGATAAATGTTTATGAATAAAGCTATATGACTATAACTTTGTTTATATTTAACTATGACTTTGATTACGACTTTGACTATAATGTTGACTATGACTATGGCCTTAAATATGCCTTTCATTATGACTATGACTTTGTCTATGGCTTTTTCTTTAACTATGATTACGATCTTTAATATGACATTGACTATAACTCTGACTTTCACTTTGATTATGACTTCAACTATGACTATAACTGTGCGTATGACTTTGACTGATTTAGGAGATGAGTTTAACTTGACTATTTACCAGACATGGGGGGGTAATGATTATGTAAAGTAATTCATTACATGGTCAATTACAATTACTTGTAATATGTAATTGAGCAATAACCAATTAGTTGTAATTGTAACTCACCAGTAACTAATTACTTGTAATTGTAATTAAAGTTTTGACAATTACAATTACTTGTAATTCTAATTGAAAAATTACTTTTATTTGTAATTTAGATATCACTGATTACAAAATTCACAACTGCAAGTAACTATATTTGGACATTTTTTCAATTACAATTACAAGTAATTGAATTGCAAAACTTTAAATGCAATAACAAGCAATTGTAATTTGCAAAACCTTAATTACAATTACAAATAATTGTAATTGACAAATCTTCAATTACAATTAAAAGTAATTGTAATTGGTAAAGCTTTAATTACAATTACTTCAAATGCAAATGTAATGAAAAATGTAATCATTGCATTTGCATATAACAAAACATCTATCAAATTTGAGTTTCCGATGACTGGTTCTAATTATATATTTAAGTAAAATTTCTTATGTAATTCTAATTAAAGTTTTTGACAATTATAATTACTTGTAATTCTTGTATTTGTAATTAAGGTATCACTGATTACAAATTACAAGTAATTATAAGGAACAAAATTCACAACAGCAAGTAATTGTATTTGGAAATTTTTTCAATTACAATTACAAGTAATTGAAATTGCAAAATTTCAAATACAATAACAAGTAATTGTAATATGCAAAACCTTAATTACAAATAATTGTAATTGGCAAAACTTCAATTACAATTAAAGGTAAGTGTAATTGTTAAAACTTTAATTACAGTTACTTTAAATGTAAATATAATCATTACCTCCCCCCTTAGTTATTATAACAAAAACATATATCAAATTTGAGTTTGCGACGTCTGGTTCTAATTATATATTTAAGTAAAATATCTTATGAAGAAATTTTTTGAAAAATATACTTCACTTCAATTAGTATTTTATATAAATGTACAAAATTTTGTTATAAATTAAAAAAATATAATTTTTATTTAAATTTTAATTACAATTTGCAAATTTAGTTTCATTACGTTTTTAATTATAATAATTATCACTATACAAATTTGGTTTCTTTTCAATTGGGTTTAATACAAAAAGTATACGAAAGAAAAAAATATTAAACAAAAATTATAATATATTTGCAACTAAAAAATTATATAAAGCTAAAACTATATAAAAAAAAATTACATAAAAAAATCTTTGCTTGGTTTTCTGTCCTAAAATATATTTATTTAAGTTGTTTATACAAAAATAAATATGAAAAATGAAAAACAAATTTTGCTTTTTGCCATAAAATATAAACAAAACAACAAACTAGCAAGGAAAGTACCTTCTCTACAAAAAATAAAAATTAAATATGTATGTATTTTAAATAGAAACTAAAAACGAAAAAAAAAACTAACGATGTCTCCTCTCATTGCCATGCCTAAAAAACACACATACACAGAACTAACAAATACAAAAATATATAAATACCTACACTTGTACATACACAACTATAATTATTTAAAACACATATAAATAAACAGAATTTGGGTTTTTCTATATAGTATTTCCTATTTACATATATACAAACATACGTTTCTGAGTATGTAAGGTTGTTTGTTATTTTCTATTTTGTGTGTGTGTCAAAGTGTAAGTGTGTGATCATGTGAGTGCGTGAAAGTGTTTATGTTTTTATCTAATACTTATACTACAACAATAAATAATATTTATTTGAATATTTTCTATAATTATTAACTTATTTCCAACAAAATATCTTAAACTTTTATTATTGGTAACTATTTATATTGGTGTGCATTTGAGTGTGTGTATGTAAATGTATAATATTTATAAGAATATATCTATAAATGTATAACTGTATATCTACTTATGTATGTTTATGAGTGTGTGAGTGTGTGCGTCTGTTCTTATAATACATTTTTTATAAATTTCTAAAGTCTTAACATATTTACTCTCTCATTCTTTAACATTGTGTCTTTCTCTCACTGTCAGTTTTTGTCTATTTCCCTATACTTCCGTTTATTTTCTTAGTTTTATACAAATACATTTATTTATTGAATTGATTCCCTATTTTTCTCTTGCGCAAATAATTTGTGTACATAACAAATATATTTGTTATTATTATTGTTATTGTTTTTCCATGTTATACTTAAAACAATAATAATGATTATGATGATGTGACTATTATTTTTATTATTGTGATTAATATAAGTGTATAAATGTGTTTTCTCTAAATACTCTTCCAAATATTTATAAATACAAAAATTAATAAGTGAAAGTATGTGTGATAAATTAATTTTTTAAATTTCTGTTTTATTTTGTCATCCTACAAATTTACATGAACAAAAAGAGACTCCAATCTGGGGTTTTAAAAGGGAATTAGAGAAATAAGACAGAAACTAATAACTCCCAAAATGAAGGATAAATATGACTTGACTATGACTTGACTATAGACTAGACTATAGACTAGACCATAGACTAGACGATAGACTAGACGATAGACTAGACGATAGACTAGACGATAGACTAGACGATAGACTAGACTATAGACATAGACTAGACTATAGACTAGACTATAGACTAGACTATAGACTAGACTATAGACTAGACTATAGACTAGACTATAGACTAGACTATAGACTAGACTATAGACTAGACTATAGACTAGACTATAGACTAGACTATAGACTAGACTATAGACTAGACTATAGACTAGACTATAGACTAGACTATAGACTAGACTATAGACTAGACTATAGACTAGACTATAGACTAGACTATAGACTAGACTATAGACTAGACTATAGACTAGACTATAGACTAGACTATAGACTAGACTATAGACTAGACTATAGACTAGACTATAGACTAGACTATAGACTAGACTATAGACTAGACTATAGACTAGACTATAGACTAGACTATAGACTAGACTATAGACTAGACTATAGACTAGACTATAGACTAGACTATAGACTAGACTATAGACTAGACTATAGACTAGACTATAGACTAGACTATAGACTAGACTATAGACTAGACTATAGACTAGACTATAGACTAGACTATAGACTAGACTATAGACTAGACTATAGACTAGACTATAGACTAGACTATAGACTAGACTATAGACTAGACTATAGACTAGACTATAGACTAGACTATAGACTAGACTATAGACTAGACTATAGACTAGACTATAGACTAGACTATAGACTAGACTATAGACTAGACTATAGACTAGACTATAGACTAGACTATAGACTAGACTATAGACTAGACTATAGACTAGACTATAGACTAGACTATAGACTAGACTATAGACTAGACTATAGACTAGACTATAGACTAGACTATAGACTAGACTATAGACTAGACTATAGACTAGACTATAGACTAGACTATAGACTAGACTATAGACTAGACTATAGACTAGACTATAGACTAGACTATAGACTAGACTATAGACTAGACTATAGACTAGACTATAGACTAGACTATAGACTAGACTATAGACTAGACTATAGACTAGACTATAGACTAGACTATAGACTAGACTATAGACTAGACTATAGACTAGACTATAGACTAGACTATAGACTATAGACTATGACTAGACTATGACTAGACTATGACTAGACTATGACTAGACTATGACTAGACTATGACTAGACTATGACTAG